CATTCGCTCTGACGAACGGCTAACGCTCGAAACGTCAGCTTTTTTATTCGTTACGGTGGCCAATTTACTATTTCAACTTAGTTGAAAGGAGATTAGACGGGTTTATGTATAAAAATGATAAAAGGTAACAAATTGGTGGATTGCGACATCTTGATAAATAATCTGAACTGAATACACTTCAACGGAGGTCTTTCTTCAAATGCTTTTGGCATTGAAAGACGATCCGTTCAAAATACTTTCGAGAATGAACTTAATGACATCATTGATACGTGAGGAAAGCATAACTTCACAATGGGCATTCGCAAAATATTTTAGACAGAACAGTTTTAAAAGTGATTACAAAAGAACTCCTGAGGGTCAGAGCTATCGCTAAAAAAATAATCTGAGATTTGCTCATTGGTGAATCATCACGGAGAACGCATTTGTTTGCGCCACACTCCCTTGAAATTAAGTAAAAATATGATCTCCTGCTAAACGAAGATCTACTTTCATGCATAGGGTCACTCAAATGTGAAACAAAAGCTTTGAAGCAATGAATTTGAACTTGATCTCGTGCCCTACATTAAGGCAATCGAACGAAGTTTGATTCAGGCTCGATCAGATTTTCTTACCTGTGTAAACACCGTCTTGTAGCTCAAAAGGAATAACACCATCTCGCCAGAGCCTTTTGTTGAAGGCAGTCGCAGCCCTTTTCCTTCTGCTTTGACGCAGTTCTGAGGCAGAAACTGCGATATCACCTTGTACGATACCATCTACAGACATCAAATTAGGTATTAAGGTTTGTATTAACTGAAGCGATAAAAGCTGATGCAAATGATTGATGCCTTTAGACAACGAGAAGCAGAGAGCTGAAGTACTGTAGGCATCGGGACTGCGTGGAAATAGTTTTCCGAAGGAGGAAGGAATCACAAAATCATAGTCATACTTCAGGAGAACGATAACGTAGCGGGGTAAAAACAATCGCCAGTTTTACGCGAAAATTTGCACACATCGCTTTGTTTAGTTAAACTATTAATCTGACAATTGAACTGATAGGAGAGATCAAGTACACAAACTAATACTTGTGTCTCTTATACAAGGGAATATCGCTCGTTCGACAAAGAGGAGAAACGCAGGGAAATGGAAATGACGACGAAACTTGGATCAAAAATCTTACCAGCCTTGCAAGGGTCGTAATCTTCGTCATCAGCTGTAACCACGGTGCCCTCAAAGGCCACGAAAAATATCAGAAAGAGCAAACCAGAGGACAGCATCGTTGTGTTTGGTCAATCGTCGGTTCGTCTTACGTTTGAACCAGAACAAACTAAGAGGCAAATAATCGGCGCGTCAAAAGTGGAGGGTCTTTTTTTTGTTCGCTTTCAGTGGCACAAAGACCGCTGTCTCTCAACGGTACTTCTTTCAACACCTTCACAAAAATACCTTACGTGGATATGCGAGATGTCAGCCGATGATTTATAATAAGTCGAGTGGCTCAACAATCCAACGTCTATCGTCAGAATAATAAGGCCTTGGAGTCCTTCAAATGCTTAATTTTTTTGATGTCATTGGGAACAAATTTCTGAAAGGTTTATGCCCATGAGACAGACCGCGAAATCATTGTCAACGGGTTAAGCGAGAGAGCTGATTACTTTCTCGATTGGCACTAGCGCTGATAATTAAATGTCAAATGACGGATATTTAACACCCACTTTCCGTGAACTATGTCAGCTAATAAAACCTCTGCGCTTAACACTTCCTTTGGTCTTCTGCCGAGCTTTCCTTCTCGATCCTTTCCGCTTAGAATGTTCGAATTTTTCTAGTCACAAGATTGCCTAATTTACACTAAAAAGAAATTTTGGTTCCAGTTGAAGGGAAAGATCGACTTTTGCGAGAGTCGAAGTGATGCAACAGAAGGAAGACTGACGACACCCAGTTGCGAACGCATATTGTTAAGAAGCCAGATTGTTTTTAAGCGCCGGATATTATTTGAAGATTTCCCTTTATTTGTTTTACCGTTTGAAAACAATCACGCCTCAAGTTCACTCTTTCCTGGGTGTTTATTCAGCAACGAAAAATTTTAATCGCTTTGATTTGGGATTTGGCACCCCTAGTAAGCTATACAACGAATAGACGCTCGCTAAACGTTTTTAAATCCTTACCTTTGTCCCCCATGTGAGTGCTTGAAAGTTATTAATCATCTTTAACTTAGTGCAACTTCTTTAGTAAAGCAGGAAATTGCCTTTAAATGTGGAACGTGTGACTTTGCCCAGCCGTGTCCGGCTTCCTCCGATATCCAAAATAACTCCGGCAGCACTGAACGATTTTTCATGAAGAACGGGTGTCTCCGTTTGAGCAGTTCAGGTAGAAGGGAGTTAAAAATAGAAAGATTCGATTACCCCCGAAAGTAGGAGGTAGCCTGCGTAGGAATAATGAAAAAAGAAAAGGAGGGGAAAAGTGGAAGACCTTGGCTTTTTCCTGTTTGTGAATAAAAACGCTTCCAAAAACCTATTATTGTTTTCCTTCCCGTCGGTATGTGCAAAATAATCTTCGCGGAACACTTCTCTGGCTACAAGCTTTTCCCGCGTGGTTTTCTTTTTTTTCGTTGTTGTTGTTTTCTTTTTTTCGGGGGGAGGGGGGGACCCTAGAACAGAAGAGGAGGTAAAATCGAGGGGAAAACAATAGGTCACATTTGAATATGATACTACGTGCACTCCAAAACATATACCGTGCGTGTCAACCTGAACTGTCGGGTTGACTTGATGTCTTGACGTCTTGTGGATGGGCCATCGAAGCATATAGTTTTCACTGATTGTTACTGATTCATTGTATGTGTTGTAGTTCAATTCTATCCTTGGTTCAAATTTTATTTTCCTTTGTTTCAAACTCATTATCATACATTAAAATGACCGAGAAAGGAAAATAAAATTTGAACCAAGTATAAAATTAAATTATATCATACATGTACTATAAAACATAAAATAATAAATCATTGGGAATCAAGGGTCAATAATAGAATATGTCTCGGCATCACCGGAATATTCCATCATATTTATGGCATCCAAGTAACCATAGCCACCCGTCTTACGTCATACGTCATTTACGTCGTTAGAGTGGAAATCGCCAATCAACCCTCAGCAGTTGTTCGGAAAACAAATAAAGATTTTGATTGTACAAATCAGATTGTACAGTGAGGGAATATCAGCTTATTGTTTTAGGGGTCTTCCATCTTGATATCCTCATGCATTGAAAGTTAAATTTGAAAAATCAATTTGAAGGTGCCTTCTGCATGAATAATTATGTAAGATTCTCTAAAACCGAAAAAAAAACTTGGCAACTAAGATAAAAGCCAATTCTTGGGTTTCAGGTGACGTCACAAGCTTTGCTGAAGTTAGTGTCCGCCATGTTGGTGTCCCTCGGGTGTCAAATTTATGAATAATTAGTCGATTTCTAGAGTGAAGCCCTCTCTCTTATCGCCGTGATTATTTCGCCAACTACATGAATATCCAGAAAGAAAAAAGCGTTAAAAGTATCTGGCATTCATCTTAAGGTATCCCAGTGCTCTCTGAGTATGCCGAAAGCTTAGAGAGTTGGAAGGAAAGATGTTTGCAAAAGATCTCGGTCATCGGGGTTGACCCTGCAAACATACCAGCCGAGAAGTTCAGTCCAAAATGCTTGCCTCCTGTAGAAGTGTACC